CTCACCCAGCTCCATAGCATCACCCCCGTGGCAGTGTGTGCCCGCACCACTTTCCGTCTCCTCACTCCATCCCGAATCCATTTAGTGAATTCTCCCCTATTATCGCTGCATTAGGTTTTAAGACCCCAGGCACCTCCATCTCCTACTTTTCAGCTGCGCAGGAAAAAAAAAGCAGCTGCTCTCCTCCTCCCAGCCCTTTGTATTGATAAATGGAGCTACAGGGGGAATTCAAACCCAGCCCTTGTGGCGCTAATATTTCCCCATACCGCAGCCAGCTGGCTTTGCCATAACAGGTCCTTACAGCTCCGCTCTGTTCCTTCAATAGCAGGGGGAAGGCAGGGGGGCAGCGGGGCCTGCAAAGGTGCTGGGGTTGGGGGGGATGCTCAGGGTAAACTGGGGTCTTGCTGCTGGAATTCTGGGTCTTGAAGGCTCGGAAGGATCCTCATGTAATTGCGAGCTGAGAGGGGTGGGGGTGTTGCAATGGGTGGGGGGCTGCAAGGAGGGGGGAGCTGCAAGGGATTGGGGTGCTGCAAGGTGTGGAGGTGTTGCAGGGGGTGGGGGTGATGCATAGAATGGAGGGCTGCAAGGGAATGGGGGTTGCAATGGGTGGGGGGGCTGCAAGGATTGAGGATGTTGCAATGGGTTGGGGGGCTGTAAAGTGTGCTGCAATGGGTGGGGGTGATGCAATGGATGGAGGTGCTGCAATGGGTGAGGGTGCTGCAGGGGTGGGGGTATTGTAAGGAGTGGGGGTGCTGCACAGGCTTGGGGTGCTGCAAGGGATTTGGGTGCTGCAAGGTGTGGAGGTGTGGCAAGGGATGGGGGTGCTGCATAGAATGGGGGGCTGCAAGGGAATGGGGGTGGCAATGGGTGGGAGGGCTGCAAAGGATGGGATTATTGTAGTGGGTGGAGAGCTGCAAGGGCTGGGGGTGTTGCAGCAGATTAAGGGGCTGCAAAGGGTGAGGGCGTCGCAACAGATGGGGGGATTGCAAGGGTGGGGGGTTATTGCAAAGGACGGGGGTGCTGCTTAGAATGAGGGGCTGCAAGGGGTGGAGCTGTTGCAATGGGTGGGGGGGCTGCAAGGGATGGGATTGTTGCAAGAGATGGGGGTGCTGCATAGAATGGGGGGCTGCGAGGGATGGGTGTTGCAGTGGGTGGGGGGGCTGCGAGGGATGGGAGTGTTGCAGTGGGTGGGGGGGGGGTGCTGCAATTCAGGTTGAAAAGGCAGAAAGAGAATTAGCAATGAAGAAAAAACGAATAATACACATATCATAAAATCAAAAGGAAGAAAAGCTATTTATTTTTCCATCCAACCCACTGAGCTTTATGGCTCCCCTCCCGTGCCCAACCTAACGGGGTGCTGCCATAAAGGAGGATGGCGGGCGGGGGGCTGCCACGAGCCCACCCTACACGTAGGGAGGGGGGCAGATCGGATGCTGCAAGGTGCTGGGGGCTCACAGCCATCTGCTGACAGCCCTGCCGATGGGGGCTGACACCCTACTAATGGGCCTTGCGTGCAGTGGCAGCGACATGACAGCCCCGACGGCGCGGCCGCGTTGATCACAGCGCTGTCACTTCCTCACTGCTGAGCCCTGAGATCAAACCTAAAGGCTTTTGCTTGTACATGCCGGGGGGGGGGGGCTCACCTTGAATGCCTTAATTATGGTGGGGCATAGGGAAAGCAAGGCGATGCAGGGCCCTGGCAGGGAGCACAGTGCTAGCTCGGTGTTCACAGTGTGGGGTTGGGGCTGCGAGGTGAAGGGATGCTGCAGAGGGTGAAGGGGCTGCAGGGGTGATGGTGCAGTGAGAGGTGAAGGTGTGGTGGTGCAGTGAGAGGTGAAGATGCTGCAAGGAATGGGGGTGCTGCAATGGGATTGGGGTGCTGAGAGAGGGGGAGATGCTGCAAGCGGTGATGAGGCTGCAGAGTGGGGGCTGCTCTGAGGAGGGAGGATGCTGAAAGGGATAAAGATGCTGCAAAGGATGAGGGTGCTTCGAAGGATGAGGATGTTGCAAGGCATGAGGGTGCAGCAGGGGGGTGAAGGTGCTGCAAGGAATGAGGATGCAACAAGGAGTGAAGATGCAGCAGGGGGTGAAGATGCTGCAGGAGAATGAGGGTGCAGCAAGGGGTGAGGATAGTGCAAGGGGTGAGGGTGCTGCAAGGCATGAGGGTGCAACAAGAGGTGAGGATGCAGCACGGGGTGAGGTTGCTACAGGGGTGTGAAGATGCTGTAGGGATGTGAGGGTGCAACAAGGCTGAGAATGCTGCAAGGGGTGAGGATACAATAAGGGGTGAGGATTCTGCAGGGGAATGAGGGTGCTGCAAGGAGTGAGGGTTCAGCAAGGGGCGAGGATGCAACAAGAGAAGGGTGCAGCAAGGGGTGAGGATGCAGCACGAGGTGAGGATGCAGCAAAGGATGAGGGTGCTGCAAGGAACAAGGATGCTGCAAGAAATGAGGGTGCTGCAGGGGGGTGAGGGTGCAGCAAGGGGTGAGGATGCAACAGGGAGTGAGGATATTGCAGGGGGGTGCAGGTGTTGCAAGGGGTGAGAATGGTGCAAGAGGGGGTGAAAGTGCTGCAGGTGTTGGAAGGATGTAACAAGGAGTGAGGATGCTGCAAGGGGTGAAGGTGCTGCAAGGGATGAGAGTGCTGCAGAGGGATGAGAATACTGCAGAGGGGTGAGGATGCAACTAGGAGTGAGGGTGTAATAAGGGGTGAGGATGCTGCGGGGGAATGAGGCTGCTGCAAGGGGTGAGGATGCTGCAAGGAATGTGAAGGTGCTGCAGGGAGGGTGAGGATAGAACAAGGAGTGACGATGCTGCAGGGGAAGAAGGTGCTGCAAGGAGTGAAGATGTAACAAGGGGTGAGGATGCTGCAGGAGCTGCCGGAGCTGCCCTGGCCCTGCCGGCCCCGCATCCCGAGTGCCACCTAGTGCCCGCCCCGCTCCACTCATCCCGCCGCCCGCCGGGACAGACACCGAGCGGGGTGAGAAGACGAAACACCAGAGAGCAGCTCCGAGCTGCGGGCGTTGATGGATCGGTGCTCCCCGCAGAGCTGTGTCAGCACACGGGGTCGATACGTCAGCATACAGGAAGATCGATGGGACCCCGGGCTGCCCCCCGTGCTCCGCAGCAGCCCCCCAAAGCGGTGCCGTGGTGGGGCGGCTCCATCCATCGCTGCTCCGTGTGCACCTTCCTGGTCGTACATTTCAATATGATTCAGGGGCTGGGAGGGTTGGGGACCCCGCTGTGGGATCATTGCTTCCTGCAGCCTTATCAGCCCGGAGCAGGCAGCAGTGCAATGCTGACATCCCCACTAAATGGGGCTCAGCTCAGATGAACGCCTTCGATCTGATCCAATTAACTCCCAAATTGAATAGCGATGCCCCCATCCCCAACCCCCCCCCATCTCCCAGATCCCGAGTTCAACCTGGGTTCAATCAGATTCACCACCTCGTCCACACCTGAAGCTGCACGCTGTGCTGCTCCTCCACGTGGGGAAACTGAGGCAGGCTGCAAGTACTGGGAATGGGAGAAATTCCCTCCTGATGGCTTCGGAAGCTTTGCTTTCCAAAAAGAGGCAAAACAGAGGAATTTTCTTTCTAATCTGCCTAAGTCGCCGCAGCAATTTCTCTCCGATAAGCAAATCTGTGCTTTATCCCCTCGTCAGAACAACAGAGGAGTCTGGATTAGTGCTTGTCCAGGGATGTGTTTATTGGGGTGGGCGGGGGGGAGATCTGCAGCTCTGTGAGCTCTGGGCTCATCAGTGAAACGAGTAGAGGCATCCTCAGCCCACAGGGAGCGCAGGGATGAGAGTGAGTGCCGAGGGAGGAATCGATGCCAGCAAACTGGGGGCATCAAAGCATCTCTGAGCGACTTGTTAAGTAAATATGTAAAAAACAAAAAGAGGGAAAAGAACACAAAACTTGGCCTAAGCCGATAGGGGGAGGAAGGAGGAGGTGTGTGTGTGTGTGTGGGGGGGGGGGGGTTTTTCTCTTCGGGGCGGATGAAAGGCGTGCGGGATGGCACGGCGGGCAGGGAAAGCTTCAGAGGATTGTAAATGATGGGGGAAAGAAGGAGGAAAAAAAAATAAAATAAAATAAAAATCAGCAGGAGTTTCAAAGCCTGCATGCTTTCAGATGTGGCTGCGCAGCCTTTCATCCCAGACCCCTGCAGGAAGGAGAGATGTATGCATGCGTGGTAGGAAGCATGTATAGGGGAAAAGGAGAGCAAATACCCTTAACTCTGCCCTTCCCTGAGGTCCCAGTGTGGGACGTGGGAGCGGGCAGCCCTGTTCCTCCCATGCCCCATCCCCATTGCTGGCTGCTGCTGGGATAGGTGGAGGCTTCGGGGCGAACAAATGGGAATGTGAGCGGTGGCAGAAGGAGATGCTCAGAGGTTGGGGAAGGGTCTCCAGTCCCCGTGCATTATTGATGGAGAGGATAATTGCATGCTTCCTACAGCTCTGTGATGAAAAATTCATACCCCGGGATGAGGCACTGAGGGTCTCCATCGACCCACACCGGCCCCTTTGTTTGCCAGCACCGGGGGGACGCAGAGATGGGACACGCACTTCCCTTGCTGGATGTCCCCTGCCATGTGGCGATATGGGGAGCAGAGCGTGGGTTGAAAACCCCACAAATTCCAGCTGGAGATGTGAGCAGCATCTCAGCTCCACTTCAGCCCACCCCAGCATCGCTGCCTGCGGATCTGAGCGGGCCGCAACCCTCAGAAGTTAATGGAGTGCACGGAGATCCAAGGCATGGAAATGAGGTGCCAGCACCAAAGGGCCGCCTGGGACCTGCCACCAGATTGCCTGCGTGCTGGGAGTGGGAGATAAGGCAGAGGGGGGCTGGGTGGCTCTGAGGGGTGTTGCAGCCATCGAGCCCTGCCTGCTGGGTTCTGGGGACAAACTGCAGCGTTTTTGCCCTGAACTGGGGCAGGGCTGCCGCAGGAGGGAGCCCGGCTGGGTTGCTAAGAGCAGCGCAGCGTTGTGTTGTGGTGACAGCAGGGATGCCACCAACACCGCACACGACTCCGGGCTCTGCTCCGGTGGCAGCCGCAGATGCCCAGGTTGGGAACAGCCCCCAGGGGAGGTGGTGAGCGCTCCCCCATTTGCTGCATGGCTCAGTGGGGCCGACACGGACTGCTGGCACTGATGTCCCCTTGCAGGTCCGCCGTGATGCCGTGGCCCTGCCACCAGCTGATGCCGTGTCCAACATCCTGCCCAGAATACAGCAGAGGTATGGGGCACTCAGTGATGCTACGCGGGGTCCCCTGCATCCCAGCTGGGAATCAGCCCTGGGTGTCCCTCTGCTCTCTGCCCACAGGTCCCAGGATGTCCTCCAGGAGCAGGTGAGCATGCTGTGGTGACACCCCCAGGATCCTGCTTCCCAAGGAGGGGATAGGTCCAAGCACAGAGCTGCTGCTGTCCTTCTTCCATGCAAGGAGCAGAGCCCTGCTGTGCTGGCACCCCAAGGCCACTCGGTGCTGCCAGACCCCCCCGGGCTGCTGTGGAAGGACATCCTCAAGGCTGAGCTTTGGCAGGGATACAGGAGGCTCAGCTGCCTCCTAACACGCAGTCCCTCTGCTGATTATTCTCCTTTTGGCACCCACTGGTGCCATGGGACAAAGAGGTTCTCCCCCCCCCTAAAAACGAACTTGGTGTCCACCCCTACCCAAGAGCTATCCCTTGATTTCAGGGGGTTTATTTCAGCAGGCTGAGGGGTGGGATGCTCATGCAGATGCAGCAGCTTCATGCTGTCCTCCTAGAGCTGTGCCTGGTTGTTTGTCCACCCAAACAAACCCGACCTTGGGCAGGTTCCCCCCCCCCCCCCCCAAAACAGGGCCATGTGCTGCCCTTGCTCCCATGGCCACCGCTGCATGATCCTCATCCTCGTCCTCCTATGTGGCCACGGGAAGAGGCCAGGCAGGGGGAACAGGAAGGGAAAATCCCTGCTCTGGATCTGTCTCTCCAGCACCTGCTTCTCTGGGGAAATGTTGCACTGTCTGTCCATTAAAACATACCCCGGTGATAGTTCTTCCCTCATAGATGATGGAATGTCCCCCTGCCCAGAGGCTGACTGACAGGGAAGCTTGGGATTACGCCCAGCTATAGCACTTCTGCAGCCCTTAGGAGCAGGAGAGTTGACTTTCCCTCATAGGGTGACAAGAAGAGAAAGAGAAATGAGGCAGAGGCTGCAGGATTTGCTGGGGTTGAGGGGTATAGGGAGAGGTGGTGGGTGGAGAGGAGGAGGCTTAGGGGTGCAGGATGGATAGCAGGGGAAGTGAAGGATGGGGAGAGAAGGGTGGATAGAGAGAGAGGGAAAGGGTGAATGGATGGAGAAGAATGGATAGGGAAGGAAAGAGAGAGTGGGTGGATGGGAGGGGAAGGGAAGGGAAGGGAAGGGAAGGGAAGGGAAGGGAAGGGAAGG